ATAATAACAAAAAAATCAGGCACGCTGGTAGTTGCTAGGATACAACTCATCATTCTGAATACTAGTAAATACAGAGAAAGAATTAAGCATTTATCCTGCCTTTCCTGTACTAATCGTATTCAGGTTAACCTAAGAGTTGATGAGGGAATTTCTTCTTTATAAAAGAATTGCATCCGAAAAGTTCTAGGAATGATAGAATAAGACTGTTATTTTTACACCCCCCCCCACCCCTGAAGAAACAGGGACCTTAAGGCAGTGTTCTCAAACTAACTGTGGTGAGAACAGGTGTTTTGTTTTTTTGTGGTTGGTTTTTTTTTTTAAGATTTTATTGGGGAATCAGGGAAGGTAAACAGACAAGTTGCTGTCCTTTTGTTCTTCAGTCTAGTTGTGGAGGATGCCGCTTTACTGTCCCATGTTGGTATTATGATCAGTGCGTTCTTCCTGGGTGAGGTAGTCAGTTGCCGGCCATTGGACGGACGCTCACGGCAGCCCACTGCAGCCCCACTGCAGCCTATGTAGTCGCCGGCCACTCACAGCAGCCCAGCTCCAGGTCGAGCTGTTGTTCACCATCTTAGCTGTAGAGAGGGCGCAGCGTCACTGGCCCATGTGGGAACTGAACCAGCAGCCCTGCTGCTCAGAGCTCGTGCTCCCAGCCAACTCTTAAACAACTGAGCCACTCGGCCGGCCTCAGGTGTTTTGTTTTAAACTTCCAGTTTACTGAGCAATACTCCTGTGAAATGCAATAAAATGTGACAATATTAAATTGCTGTAAAAGCTTCTAAATGTTTGCAACTTTCAGTTTTTGTACTTACCATGAATTGGTAACAAACCATTGGGGCCACCCCACACCTTAAGTAGCACTGGCCTAGAGGAGTAAATGACAAAGCTGTTACGTGAAAGATTCATGAGGAGCTTTCAGATGGGTGGATTTGGCTGAAGACACCCAAACCCATTTATAAATCTTAGCATCACTAAAAGTGAACAATCAAACATTGTGTGTCACCTTATTGGACTCAATAGGAAATTATAGCACCATCTATGAATTATTACACTCACCCCCCACCATCAGCAAAACTGAATCTGAATCTAGTCAAGCTTCTAGAACTGACTACTGATTTACTGGAAATAGAAAGGATAGAGGAATGAGTTAAATGACAACACCATAAGGAAAGCGTCAGCCAAATTCCAGAATGTGGGAAATGCTACAGGACAAATGACACAATTTACAGAACTTCAACAAACAAATGTCGTAAAGTGAAAGGGGAGCGCACTGCTATACGGTTAAAGAGATGTAAAAGACATCTGAATCAAATACAATGTGTGATTTGTTTGAATTCTGATTAAAACACATTTTAGGATACTCAGGGATATGTGAAAATGGGCCATTGAGATTATATATTTTTAAAACACCTTATTTGTTAGAAATGCATTCTGAATTATTTTAGCTAAAAAGGTGTAATGTCTAGGATTAGCCTTAAAACAGTGCGTTTCAGGATAGGGCAAGGTGGTGGTGGGGGGAAGTAAATGAAATAAAATAAGCAAAATGTTCATAATTACCAAAACTTGGTATTAATAAGCATCAAAGATAAACGCATTAGTTAAAGCAGTGAAAATAGATTATTCAGTAACTACTGAAACTAGGGGAAAGAATTGAACTCTATTTCGATTTGTGCTGAGGTTACTGGCATTTTAAAGGGGAATGAGGGAGGGAGAGGGCAGGGGCTCAAGTGAAAAATGACTGGGGGGCCGGCCGAGTGGCTCAGTTGGTTAAGAGCTCGCTCAAGAGTGTGAGCTCTGAGCAACAGCAGTTCGATTTCCGGCCCAAGCTGAGCTGCCGCTGAGCTGCCAACAGATGGCAGGATGGCTCAGCTAAAAATAAAAAATGACAGTGGGTTGGTGAGTGAATACCTGTGAGGCCAGCTATGTACTAGCGGACAATTATCGAAGTTAGGATTCTGTCTTCCCACAGAGACTGGAAGACAAAGGCCTTACCCTTCCTGATGATTGCCTTGCAAAGGAATGGCCTTCCCGTCCTTGAAAAAGACACTCCTGAGTTGTAGGAGATACATGTATACCTCAGAGGGACCGAGGAATGATTCACAATTTTAGTAAATGCCCTAAGAAAGGAAGGTCAGGGGTTTATCTTCAGGTGTTGGCTAGAAGAAATAGTAAATTCTCCTGGCAGCCTTGGGCTTTCTCAGGCTGGCATTTTATTGAGGGGCTGGGGTCCCCATCCTGGAAACATGGCCTTATGCTGCTCGAAGCCTTGAGTTTGGTTGTCTCTTAGGGCAGAGGTTTGGACAGAGTCGTTATGTGCTGAGAATTCTGCAGTTTTCACAAGTATATGAGGATCCAACATATCAGCCTTATGATTTTATAATATTAGAAAAATACACATTTGTATTTTGAAGGTTTCATGAATAAAAAGTTACTTTTAATACATATTCCTATTGACTAGTCATTCCTCTTAAAGGAATGTATCCTAAAGTAATAATCAGGAATTTGGTCAAGGGTTTATGTATGAGAATATTCATCAAAGTAGTAACATAGAGAAAAAATGGAAACAAAACTTTCCAACATTAAAAGATTTATAAATGTATCTGTATCCTATTAGATTGTCAGAAATCCAAAAACATGAAGAGCCATTGATTGATGAGGCCCTATGAAAGGAGGTACTCTCATAAATTGCTGGAGGGGCTGACCCCATGGAGAGCAATTTGGAAATTGTAACAAATTTACTAATACATTCACCCTGTGACCAAGTACTTCCACTTTTGGGAATGTATTCTGCAGTGATATCTGTAAACATGAGTATGAAATTGTTATGTACAAGGTTATTCATTGCATCATTATTTATAATAGCAAAAGATTGGAAATAATAGAGGACTAGTTAAATAAATTGTGGAATTTATGCAGAGGATTACTATACAGCTGGGAAAAGGATGAGGAACCTCATATCTGTGCATTCAGTATGGTACCACTAGCTACACGTGGCTATTTAAATTTGATTTAATTAATATTAATAAAATTTAAAATTCAGTTCTTTGGTTGCACTAGCCACATTTAAAAGTGCTCAGTTGTCACGTGTGGCTAGTGGCTACCTCCTTCGGACAGCACAGATATTGAGTGTTTCCATCAGTGCAGAGAGTGCTTTGGACTATGCTGCTTTATATAGTGAGTGTAAAAATATCTCTAAAATACCTATATTACTTTTATAATAAAGACACCTTGGGCTGGCAGGGTGGCAGAGTTGGTTAAGAGCACGAGCTCTGAGCAACAGGCTCCTTGGTTCGATTCCTACATGGGCCAGTGAGCTGCGCCCGAGCTGAGCTGCCATTGAGCTGCCAATGAGCAACCGGATGGCTCAGCTGGTGAGAGCGCGTGCTCTTAACACAAGGTTGCCAGTTCGACTCCCGCATGAGATGATGGGTTGCGCCCCACAGCAACTGTATAGATTGAAAGTGGCAACTGGACTTGGAGCTGAGCTTGCGCCCTCCATAACTAAGATTGAAGGACAACAACTTGACTTGGAGCTGTTATTGGGTCCTGGACTGATGGGTCCTGGAAAAACAATGCTCCCCTTCTCCAGTCCCCCGCCCCCAAAAAAAGACACCGAAAGATAGAAAATACTGTGTAAAACAAAACTGAGGTTCTTTGTGAAAGATTAAAACTTGAGTTCCAAACACATATGGAACCTTTTCACAGATTTTTTTTTTCTTGAAATCAATAACCCCCCCACTTTCTCCCGTCCGTTGACCATACCATTTTCAGACGTATCAGTCAGTATGATGCTAGGTGGATTACATACTATGGAAAAAAATTCAGTAGGTACAGCTGTTGAAGGCAAACACAGCATAAAGAATTTTTGAGTTCATTATTTTTAAGCTAGCCTCTACTGCTTTTTGCAGGCAAAAGGTTAGAATCAAGCATGCCTAAAGTTGTAACCCTCCTCACCTAATTATTGAGTGCATGCTGTAAATGAACTTAGATTTGCTGGGTGGTATAGCAAAATGTTACCTCTGCAATCACAGCTTTCCAGAATATTTTCAAACTGGGTTGTGCTATAATAAGAAAGATACTTGGTCTTTTTCCCAGTGACTGGCACATAGCTTCTAAAACCTTTGGAGCCTCCTGAGTAACAGGAGTATCTTAAGTGTGCTAATGAAATGACTCTTGGTGAGGCACTCCTAGTTAGCTTTAGGATGGGGGCTGGTTGCCAGAAGGACTAAACCTTGATTAGGAGCTTAAAACTTTCAGCCCTACCTTCCAACTCCAGGGAGGAAAGAAGGGCTAGAGATTGAGGTAATCACTAGTGGCCATGATTTAATCAGTCATGTTTATGTAATGAAACTGCCATAAAAACCTCTAAACCATAGGGTTCTGGAAGCTTCCTGGTCGGTGAACACTTAAGAGGAACTGGGAGGGTGGTGCACATGGAGAGGTCATGGGTGCCCCTTTCCACTTTCCTTGCCCTGTGCATTCTTCCATTCAGCTGTTCCTGAGTCCTATCTTACATTATAAACTGCTAATAGTGGTTAATTAAAGTGCTTTCCTGAGCTCTGTGAGTCTTTCTAGCAAGTTATCCAACATGATGGTCGGTACCCCAGAGCTGGTCAGAAGTATGGGTACCTGGGACTTGTATTTTGTATCAGAAGTGGAGGCAGTCTTGTGGGACTGAGCCCTTTTACTTGTGGGATCTGATGCAGACTCCAGATAGATAGTGTCAGAATTGAACCGAATTATTGGCCTCCCAATTGGAGAAGGGGTACTGGAAAAAACACAGCACGTATTGGATGTCTGGAGGGAAAACAAATCCCTCGAGGCATACCTGTATATGGTTGTAGAACATAGTAAAATGTTTATTTCAGAATCTGGCTTATTTTAGTGTTGTCTAAGAAGAAAATAATGGGAAGCAATTACTGCCTTAGCATCCTGTGTTTTTACAAATGGAGAATTGTACTATAGATTTGAGATACTAATAAATAATTAATTTTAAACAGATCTACAAAAAATAAGGATGTTCTTCCTCAGGAAAATAAAGCTGCAGACTTGAGAGAAAAAAAACCATCTCTGAATTTATCATACCAAAGTCATGACTGCTCTGATGCCTGTCTAATGAAAAAGCCACTAACCTTCAAGGGAGAAAACCCTCTGCAGCTACCAATCAAATGCCACTTCCAAAGACGACATGCGAAGACTAGCTCTCATTCTTCAGCACTCCACGTGAGTTATAAAACCCCTTGTGGAAGGAGTCTACGAAACATGGAGGAAGTTTTTCGTTACCTGCTTGAGACAGAGTGTAACTTTTTATTTACAGATAACTTTTCTTTCAATACCTATGTTCAGTTGACTCGGAATTACCCAAAGCAAGAAGAAATTGTTTCTGATGTGGATATTAGCAATGGAGTGGAGTCGATGCCCATTTCTTTCTGTAATGAAATTGACAATAGAAAACTTCCGCACTTTAAGTACAGAAAGACTGTGCGGCCACGAGCATATTGTCTAAACAGCTTTTCCAACATGTTTACTGATTCATGTGACTGTTCTGAGGGCTGCATAGACATGTGAGTAGAAAAACATGGCATTTCAAGAAAATCTTCTGAATGTAGGAGGAGTACTTGTCGAGGAGTCCTGCTGTGTATCACTTTGTCTGTCTGCCTATCTAAAACTCGGTTCACCAAGAGTCTAAAATGGAAAGATGCACTCTCTCACTAGCAATGGAAGAGAAAACTCTTCTCCGGTTATTATAATAATTTGAAAATTGTTTCTTCCACGGATGAGTATTTCCTTTAAGCTAATACCATAATCATAATAGAGCAATTAGAGCTAATGCCATTAACAGTGCCAGACACTGTGACAAGTGCTTTACATACATTTTCTTATTTAATTCTTACAAAACTCCATGAGCTAGTAAGTAATATTCTTTCCTGTTACAAATGACGTAATTGAGAAGCCAACTGTAAGGTCATAGGGCAAACAAAAGGAAGAGCGAGGATTTGAACCCATGCTCTTAGCCACTATGTTATATGTTGTGTTTTACTTTTACAAATAATTTTCTTGCAACTTTTTTAGAAAGTCAATGGTGCTTATAATTAGTATTCTCTTGATCATAACATTGACGTTCCATAAAAAATGAAAACATGTTCTAATATTTTAGAACTTTGAAACCATTTTGTTTTAAGGGTGCATAATATACGTGGTTTTGTAGGTATGTATATATAGAATGGAATTACATTATATGTACATTTAACTTAATGCAAATTTAGCTTCCTGTACTAGGCAAAATAATGAGAGAGAGAAAGAGAAATAATTTAAATAGTATAGAGAGCAGTTTTCACCATCCTCTGAGTTGGAATATGAAATGAGATATATAAAAATCTGCTGTTACCTCATTTTAGCTCAGTTCCTTTAGGCCTGTCATAGAGGAAACCCATCACTGTGCCAAGTTTAATTCTGTTTAAAAATAAGTTTGTCTTAAACATTGCCTCTAAATATAACCACTTATATCTAACCAAGCCCAATCTCTTTCAGTGCTGAAGAAGAAAACTGACTGTTGGATAGTGTTTACTTTATGATTAGTTTAAGGGATTTTTTTAAAAGAATAACTTGACTATATGTAATTTTGGAACACACAGGAGTAAACCCACCAAAGGTATGATTTCAGCCACAGCACTCAAAGGTGTGTAGGACCACGAAGGCAGCTAGAGTCCCAGCGAATGGGAGCATTCCCACCTGGAGAGTCAGAGATAAATATAGAATATGATTGAAAGAGACTTTATATTAGGTATGTTTAAAATGTCCAAAGAGATTAGCATCCATGAAACAAGAAAAGGGGATTATTTTTTTAAAGGGTATATGTGTAAAAGAACCATGTGGAAACACAGGAAATAAAACATGGTCATTGGGATAGCTGGAGAAAGAATGAGTAAATCGCAAGGCAAAGCAGAGAGTCTCAGAATGCAGAAAGAAAGGTATGGGGAAAAACAGCTTACAGGCTAAAACATATGGAGGATAAGATGAGAAACTGCAGCATACATCTGCAATGTGATAATAGCTGAGAATTTCCCAGAATTGAAGAAACACAGAAGTCCTCAGAGTGAAAAAGCCTACTGTGTACTAGGAAGGGAAAATAAGATAAATGGGCACCTAAATATATCACAATGCAACTTAAACAGTATCTAGGGGAGAGAATAAATCTCAAACACTATCAGAAAGAAGGAAAAATACACTGACAACACACTTTTCACCAGAAATTAGAACAAAAAAGAGGCATATTAGCTTAAAATGCTGAAGGAAAATGTAAAATTCTGTACCAAGCCAGTCAGTCATTTGACAGAAGCGGGGCGTTCAAACAATTTATATAGCAATTGAAGATACACATACCTACTTTCCAGCAGTAGTACTTTTAAGTACTACTGGAGCATTGTTTTCCAAGCTATAGGTTTAGTGGGATGTAAAATAATTTACAGGGTTGTAACCAGCATTTTTTTAATTAAATAGTACAAAAAATAAATTACCCAAGTGTACCACATGTGATAAGGATAAGTTTCATGCCACTGTTGTTTCAGTTTATATATACACACATGTAAATATATATGCTTGTATAGGATCATGAAAAAAATAATTTTCTTACTGTGGGTCATAGTCAAAAGTATTTAAAAGCGACTGCTTTAGAAATGCTTACACATGTGCATAATAGGATGTTCATTGCAGCATCGTCTGTTATATTGAAAACTAGAAGTGACTTAATTATATATCAAGCAATTTAATTAAGCCACATAATTGTCTATCTAAATGCTATAGAAAAGTTAAAAGGAATTAACTAGATTTGTATATAACACAGATTGGGTCTACAAAACAATACTGAATGAAAAAAAGCACCTTGTAGGATAATAACTAGTAAAATTTTAAAAATAGTACAATATATTGTTGTAGATACATATGTATTTAAAAGTATAAAGGATGAAGCATCAAACATTTTGAGACTTTAGTTTTATCTGATGTTTAATTTTTTATTTTTTAAAGATCATATATTTTAAATTATATACATTAGGAAAAAGAAGGACTAGACAAAATGATGACAGCTAATTTACTGTATCATTTACACTTTAATCAAGACAGCCTCTTAATTTGGTGCTCTTTTATTCTGACTTCTCCATTCGTTGCCTTCCTTTTAGAACAAAATGTGCATGTCTTCAAATGACGGCAAGGAATGCTAGGACATGCCCCTTGTCAAGTGATAAAATAGCCATTGGATATAAACATAAAAGACTACAGAGACACATACCTACTGGGTAAGATATCTTGAGGATTTGTTGCAGGGTGTTTATATCTTTGAACGTGGGTACTTTATCATTGTGGCTTACAGTCTTATAGATGTTCTTAAATCTTAATTTTTTACACCAAAAATCTAAGTTGAGGAATTACAAAAACCAAACCTGTATATTGTTTTTGGAAATAGAAGTCAGAGAGCACACGTGTATCGAGCAGAATATACTCAGATACTCATTGGCTTTGAGTCCGGCTCTTTCGCCTCTTGCGTCTCTTGCATTAGCCTACTTTGGGCAGCCATTTCTGCATTAAAAAATACCCTGTACAGAGCTTATCTAAGAATTGGGAATTTTCAACCTTTCACAGTTATTATTATTAAAAAATATTTTTCTTGCTAGACATTCCCTTCTCAGACATTTCCTTCTTAGACATGCCTAGATATTTTAAAGAGCTAATATTTACTATGTGCCAGGTATTGTCTCAAGCACCTTGTAAATGTTGAGTCACTTAATCTTCATGAAACAGCCCTAGGAGGTAGGCACTATCATATAATCCCCAATTTAAAAAGGGAAAACTGGAGCACAAAGAGCTTAAACAACTCATCCAGGATCACACAGCTAGTAAATGTCGGAGCTGTGATGGGAACCCGGGCAGTCTAGCGCTAGGAGACCTTCTTCACACTTAGTCATCCTCCCTCAGTAATTAGTAGTGAGGTAGCAATATAAACTTTTGGTTTTAATTTAGGATGCCTGATTGATTTTCTTTTGCATATTTTATTGGCAGCATTTATGAATGCAGCCTGTTGTGCAAGTGTAATCGACGAATGTGTCAAAACCGGGTTGTCCAGCATGGACCTCAAGTGAGGCTGCAGGTGTTCAAAACTGAGAAGAAGGGATGGGGAGTGCGCTGCCTAGATGACATCGAGAGGGGGACATTTGTTTGTATTTATTCAGGTAAAGCACAGGTTGATTTTAATTACTGTGTAGTGAGATCTACATTTCTGAATCTCCGTCTTACTAGCCAGGGCCATCAAAATCTTAGGGCAAGGACAGGAGTGACAATATACAGAGGAGCATAGAGGAAGAAGAGTGACTGGGAAATGGAGTACTGATGGGATGCGATGCCTTAGAAGGTACGACATAGAGGCTCCAGAAAAGAAAGGTTCAGAGATAAAACGGGTTATTGTGTGAGGCACGTTTTTTGTTTTTTTGTCTCCATGGCCTCATGTGCTTTAGAATAAGATAAGAAAACTTTTTAAATAGGAAACTGACTGACTTGCTAAGGTGAAGATTATCAATCAGAGACTACTTTGTTTACTGTTTTCAGCTGTTAGAATTTAATATGTTAGTTTTGTAATAAATACCTGCATGCAGTGATTCAGGCAGTGACTTTTGGCAGCTCGCTCCGTTTCAGACTCAAGAGGTTTCCCGTATTCTAAGCAGAACTTCCCAATCAGTGTGTTACAGCCTTACAGTTATTGACTCTTTGGGGCCACACCCCCCAGTCCAGACACATCATTCTCCAGTAATCTTGACCACTTACCTAGAGTATCAGGCAAAAATCCCCATTTTCTGTGTGCACCAGGAAATGAGAAAGGTTGGGGAGCATGGCTCTAGAGCTAGTCTAAAGGAAATGTGCTGGACTGAGTCTCAGCAGCGAGGCAGCTGGGACCTCAGCAACCCTCCTGAATGTCCAGGTTCACCTCAGGGCAAGAATGGTCAGAATTCAGAACAGTCACACTAGGATCTCTGCCACATACCACTTACAGACACACATACTACACAGCTTGCCTAGACATTCTTCTCTCATATGCCTCAAAATAACTGATGAAAGTCAGCTGCCTATAAAATGCCAAATAGTGTCCAGCAAGTATCATTGGCTTTATCTGCATTGCTAGAAAATGCAACTAAGGTATCGCTGATCCAGCTGGTAGCTTTGACTTGGTAACTGTAATTTTGAGTCTCTTAAAAAAATGCCTAAAGTTTAGACTAAGATTTTAATGTTACACTAAGACTTAATATGAGAACAATAGGCACATATCATCACAGATTTAAATATGTCACTATAAAAAGAGTATTGGTTTTAAATAAAGCATTTTAACTAGACACAAAAGCTGCAATTTTAAGGCTAGAGTTCACCTCTCTAATTTTCTAGATTGTTTTCTGATCTGTTTTTTTATTTTGTATTATAGCTAAATCTCTTCTCTTTTATGTTATACCAAAAACAGAAGAGAGCTTTTTTTAAGTGCCCTATATTTTTTCATATACTGGAAGATATGAAATCTCTTATTGGTCTTTACTTTTTCTTGCAATAGTTCATGGGATGAGTTAATGTGTTTATCTTCATTCTAGAATAAGGTACACTTCACAGGGTTCTTTAGTAACGCATCAGAATAGGGACACCCTTCTGATGCTTGGCATTTACTCTGGTATCTTTTGTCCCTTTTACTTTTTTTCTGTTAGGAAGATTACTTAGCAGGTCTAACACTGAGAAACCTGATGCTACTGATGAAAACAGAAAAGAAGAAAATATTATGAAAAATGTGTTTTCAAAAAAGAGGAAAATAGAAGTTACAGATTGTGAGGTTGAAGTTATCCCATCAGAATTGAAAACAAATCCTGGAAGTGCTAAGACTGAAGAGTGTCCACCTGAGTTCAATAAAAATCCAAAAGAGCCTGTCATGTAAGTAAGATCTTAGGAACCCAATCAAGATACCATCTGTATTACTGATCAAGAGTGGTTCTTTCTCTTTCCTCTCTTTCTTACTACCCCCTCCCCCCACTCCTTTACATCTCCTACATTGAAACTTGCTTCACAGTTTTCAGTTTAACACTGTGCGAAATCTAGAACACGTTTAAAATCTAGCCAACATACTTTATTTCCTCAGTGTTCCATTTCTGGAGTTTTACCTTTAAAAACTTTATGACTCTAATCAGTTTCTTTATAGATGTTGAACTTTGCAGTTATTTTTATTTTCTATCACCATTCTATTTCCGGAGCTTTTCATAGGTATTTTTCATTTTTTTAACATACTTTAAAATATGATTGACTTTAAAATATGATTATATTTCCTTCTTTTGGTAAGAGGTAGGCATAGATGTTGTTATTTGGATTAATTTCTAATGGATATTTCTGTAAGGTTGATATTATCTGTATTTCAAAGTTAAGAGAATAACTTTTTTTTTCCTTTTCAGAGAAATGAAATGTAATACTATTTCAAGAATTCAATATCATTCAGTTATTAGAAGTCCGAAAACCAAGATAGCCATTATTCAACCCAATGGGAAAAAGACGGTAAAAACTGCGAAATGTAGATGGGCCCCCTCTGAGAACATTAACCCTTCTGAGAACATCTCACATTTCTGTGTTTTACTTAGTTCAGATTGTTGTGTTATTTAATAATGTGCAGGATTTCTTTTACTGTTTTGGGATGGGTGTACTGTTGGAGTGTTAAGGACCATGTTTTATTGACTTAGTCTCCTCCATAGTGGTTGGCATGTTCCCAAATTAGACTTTTAAGGAGAATGTTGGTCATGATCTGACAGTGTGTTCCACTGAGACTGAGAGCTATACAGTTCTGAGAATTTGTAGAAGCTAAAGTGTTTGAGTTGATAATAAGTAAAAGGATGGAGTACTTTAGGCTAAGGAGATAAGGTTTGAGATGTATGAAAAAGAAGAGATGCAGGCTAGTGAAAGACCATTCAGAAAGCAATATGATAGCCTTTGAAGGTACACTTTTCAGTCTCAACTGAGAATAATAACTAGTCAGACTAACTTAGAAGTAGAGAAAGATGCAGAAAAAAGAACAGAGGCAGACATAATGGTAGTTCACATTAGGGCTTGTTGATGGAAAATAAAAACTCTGCCCTGGGTGGTATGCAAATTTAGCCCATTGCCTACTAACTTGCAGTAGGAACCTCCTCAGTATTGCATAATTATGAAGAGATTGGGCCATGGGATCACATAGACCTGGGTTTGACCTCCACCTCTGCTGCTTACTAGCTGGGTGACATCTCCATGTCTTCCATTTCTCTATGTGTAAAATGAGGATAAGAGTATCTGTCTCAGTTAAGGGGATTAAATGAGATAACCATCAGAAACACTGTGTAGCTTCATGCTTGACACTCAACTAAGTGCTCAATAAATGTTGACCATTTAAGTACTTGAATAACAATAATGACCAACATTTACTGAGCAGTTAGTTGAATGCCATGCATTATGCTAAGCAGATAACCCTTTTAAAAGTTATTACCATTTCAAGTGACTGCGGTGTCTACAATGCATAAAGATTGGCAACTCCTTTAACTTTTTTTTTTGAAGTAGAAACTAGCCAAAGAATATTTTTATCTTTGCGTATCTTATAATTGAAGCCAAATTTATAGTCTGATATCAGAATTGAGGGCTACAAATAAATAAATTTGAATTTTATGCCTAAAAGGTATCTTGACAGTCTTTATAGTCTTTATGGCTGTGGCTTACTAACATGCCGAGAGGTAGAACACAGCCAGAGGGGCTACATCACTCCTAAGATTCCTTAAGACAGACATCGGCTTTGAGGCTTTCAAAACTAATGTACTAGCTACATCAAGACGATTGACTCTTGATGAAAGTGGCCTAATTGCTAAATTAAATTCTTTTTCCTCACCTATAATGTAAACACATCTTTCTTGTTTTCTTTTAAGGGATTTGCTTCCTTGCAGTATGTCACCTCTGAAGATGATGGATTTAAACCAACCCAAGCACTTCTGAACTCTAAAGCCAAGGAAACAAAAAGTAGGCTTTGTTTCACTGTGTGCCTTCTTCCTCTGCTGCCTTTCTGCCTCTCTTGCTCAGTAACTGTGGCTCATTTTCTCAGACTCCAAAACAAACATGCTATATTCATCACAAAAGTTTCTACTTGTTTAAAGCAGAGGTTGGCAAACTGTGTGTAGTTTGTGGGCCCAATCCAGCCTACCACCTGTTTATGCATGGCCCATGAGCTGAGATGATTTTCACCTTTTTTTTTTTTTTTTTTTT